TATGACTCCGGTTTTGTTTATTTGCTGATCGTCCGCATTTTCTGCCATTTCAGTGTAGCTCTTAGAGAGTGGGGACTCTGTTTTGTGCCCTGCTTTGTTCCCAGCGTATGGGATTCTGTCAGTCACGCAGTAAATGTTCAATAAATATTTTTGGCAGGGATGAAAGGATGATTTTTATCGATGAGGAAACAGAAGCCCAGAGAGGCCAATGGGTTGTCTCTCTGGATCAGACATTCAGATTCCAAAACCCAGACTTCATAAAAAGACACCCTACTTTCCTATCGCCTGTCGGCCTTGACACCGAACCCATTTCTCTCTGAGGCTGAATGGGGGCTTCTGCTTTGGGTCTAGAGTTGGACTAAACGGCCCCAGAGGCGCCTTCGACTTTTGAGGTTCTATTTTCCACAGGTAAACATCTATTCTACTGAGGGAATCACACGGACTCTGAGAAACACAAGATTTTGGTCACCCCTCAGGCTATCTGCTAGTAATCTTGACGGGATGCTGTTTGAAAAGAGGCCCCCACCAGTGTCTCTTCTGGAAAGGTGGAACATTAATCTGAGCCTCAAAATATGAAATATCCCCCCGTTTGCAAATGAATGCAGGATGTGTTTGCCTAGCGACCACCAAGAGAGCAGTATTATGTGGAGAGGAACCAAAGACAAAGCTCTGTGGTTCAATTCTGGGAGCCGATGGCTCCGCTCTCCCCAGGAGGTAATCTCTGTGTAGCTAATTACAATGGGTAAAGGAAATGGGAAAGTGAGTGCCAAGGAGGGATGGTTCTCCTCCCCCAGGTTTCTGCTTTGCTGAGAGCTGGTCTTTTGGTTTCAGAATCCTGCAGGCGGAGCTCCATCAGGCCCAGCTGGATGGGCACAGTCTTCTACTATCAAGTCCACTACTAGAGCCTGTTCCTATGGTGCTATGGCAGGCCCCTGGGTGAGGGGCTGGGGTGCTGGGGGTGGGGGCTAGGTAGGGTGGGGCAGGATGCTACAGTGTTAATGGATCAAAATAATCCACTCACATTTGAATAGTGTGTTGCTATTTACAAAAGGCTTTTGTATAATTCCCCTCATGGAAGACTTCGAAAGATTTCACAGATGTATAGGTAGCCGGAAGGTGTGCTGAACCTGCCAGGTATCACAGGGTTACAACAGGCTTTGCTGGGATTTTAACCTACTTATTTCTTCTCTTTTCAGAGACCAGGTTCTGTTTACTTTATAAATAAATAAATAAATAAATAAATTTGGTTTTGGTACCGGGGATTGAATTCAGGGACACTCAACCAATGAGCCACATCCCCAGCCCTTTTTTTGTATTTTATTTAGAGACAGGGTCTCACTGAGTTTCTTGAGGCTGGCTTAGAACTCGAGATCCTCCTGCTTCAGCCTCCAAGCCACTGGGATTACAGGTGTGCACCACTGCGCCTGACCAGGTCCTGTTATAATCTCTAGGCAATTGTTGTCAATTTTCCTGAGATCTCCAAGGAAAGGGGCAAAGGAAGGAAAGGGGCAGAAGCCCACTGCTTCCCTTCCTCTAGATTAACAAATATTGACATTTACTGAGGACTCTGTGCTAGCCTTCTGCTAAATACTTTCCCTGGAATAGGAACTATTACCAGTCTCTTTCACAAAGGAGAAAAGAGAGATATATAGATAGGAAGTAGTTTACCCAAGGACCAAATGGTGAAGGAAGGATTTTAACACTCTCTGTGTTAATCAGGATAGGACACATTGTGCTGCTGTAACAAACAACCACAAGTAGCTCAGTCCTAGAGCATGGGCTTAGTATGTGTAAGGCTCTGGGTCTGATCCCTAACACCACAGGCGGGACAAAAACAAAAGTCAGTATCTAAATAATATTCGTTTCTCCTTCAAATTGCGTGTTCATCACGGGTTGGCAAAGAGACTCCGCTTCACATAGTCACTCAGGGACCTGGGCAGAGAGATTCACTACTATAAAACTGCACCATCTGGAATCAATGAGCTCCTGACACTGTGGCAGAGGGGGAAAAAT